CAAACACACAAACACACAAACACACAAACACACAAACACACAAACACACAAACACACAAACACACAAACACACAAACACACAAACACACAAACACACAAACACGCAAACACGCAAACGCGCAAACACGCAAACACGCAAACAAACACGCAAACAAACACGCAAACAAACACGCAAACAAACACGCAAACAAACACGCAAACAAACACGCAAACAAACACGCAAACAAACACGCAAACAAACACGCAAACAAACACGCAAGCGCGCAAACACGCAAACACGCAAACACGCAAACACGCAAACACGCAAACACGCAAAGAGGCAAACACGCAAGCACGCAAGCACGCAAGCACGCAAGCACGCAAGCACGCAAGCGCGCAAGCACGCAAGCACGCAAACACGCAAACACGCAAACACGCAAACACGCAAACACGCAAACACGCAAACAGGCAAACAGGCAAACACGCAAACACGCAAACACGCAAACACGCAAACACGCATACACGCAAACAGGCAAACAGGCAAACACGCAAACACGCAAACACGCAAACAGGCAAACACGCAAACACGCAAACATGCAAACACGCAAACACACAAACACACAAACACACAAACACACAAACACACAAACACACAAACACACAAACACACAAACACACAAACACACAAACACACAAACACACAAACACACAAACACACAAACACACAAACACACAAACACACAAACACACAAACACACAAACACACAAACACACAAACGCACAAACACACAAACACACAAACACACAAACACACAAACACACAAACACACAAGCGCACAAACACACAAACACACAAACACAAACACACAAACACACAAACACACAAACACACAAACACACAAGCGCACGAACACACAAACACGCAAACACGCAAACACGCAAACACACAAACACACACACAAACACACACACACACAAACACACACACACACAGACAAACACACAGACAAACACACACACAGACAAACACACACACACACACACACACCACACACCACACACCACACACCACACACCTACACACCTACACACCTCACACCTCACACCACACACCACACACACACACGCGCACACACACACACACACACGCAAGCACAAACGCACACACACAAACACAGACACGCAGAGACACACAGAGACACACACAGAGAGACACACACACACACACAGAGACACACGCACCGAGACACACACACACGCACAGAGACACACACACACACACACGCACAGAGACACACACACAGAGACAGACACACAGAGACACACACACAGACACACATTCACAGACACACACACGGACACACACACAGACACACACACACACAGACACACACACAGACACACACACAGACACAGACACAGACACACACACACACACACAGACACACACACACGGACACACAAACACAGACACACAGAGACACACACACAGACACACACCCAGACACACAGACTCACATAGGCGCGGAGAGACACACACACACTGGCACGGACAGGCACGGACAGACACGGACAGGCACGGACAGACACGGACAGACACGGACAGACACGGACAGACACGGACAGACACGGACAGACACGGACAGACACGGACAGGCACGGACAGACACGGACAGATTCACACAGACACACAGACACAGAGACACACAGACACACACAGACAGAGACACAGGCAGAGGCACAGACATTGACACAGACAGAGACACAGGCAGAGACGCAGACGGAGACACAGATAGAGACACAGACAGACACACAGACAGAGACACAGACAGAGACACAGACAGAGACACAGAGAGACACAGACGCAGAGACACAGACACAGAGACGCAGAGACACAGACAAAGAGACACAGGAGACGGACACAGAGACAGACACAGAGACTGACATAGAGACAGACACAGAGACAGAGAGACACAGAGAGAGACACAGAGACAGACACAGAGACAGACGAAGAGACACACACAGAGACAGACATCCGCCCAACCACCCAACCACCCAGCCTAACCCACCCAATTCCTCAAGCCACACAACCACCACCAACCAACCAACCCGCCAAACCCACACCCAAACCCACTTGTTACAACCCGCCCGCCCCAACCCGCCCCAACCCACCCAACCCAGCATCCAGCCAACCAACAAACCAACCAATCGAACCAAGCCAACCAAACCAACCAACCCAACCAAGCCCAACCAACCAAACCAAATCAACCAAACCAGTCACACCAACCAGACTAACCCAACCAATTCAACCAAAGAAACCAACAAAGCCAAGCCGAAATAACCCAACCAACCCGACCAGCGCGACCAACCCAACCAACTCAACCAACCCCGCCAACCAACCAACCCCAGCAAGCCAACCCAGCAATCGATTTAATCAACTCGACCAAACCAACCAACCCACCACACCAGCCAAGCCAACCACACCAACAACCAACCAACCCAACCAACCCAACCAAGCCAACCAACCCAACCAACCCGACCAGCTCGACCAAACCCCGCAAACCAACAATTCAGGAAACCAAACAAACCAATGCAACCATACCAGCCAACCAATCAAACCAACCATGCCAACCAACCCAGCCAAGCCAACGAACCCACCAACTCGTCCAACTGGAGCAACCCGCAAAGCCACCAAACCGGCCACACCAACCAATCTAAACCAACTCTACCAACCCTACCAACCCACCAAACCAGCCACACCGACCGAACCGCACCAACCCAACCAACCCGGTCAACCCAACCAAACCAACTAAACCAACCGAGCCAACCAACCCAGTCAACCCAGTTATCTTGACCAACCCCGCAAACCAAACAAACCAACCGTACCAACCAAACCAACCAAACCAACCCAGCCAACCGCACCAACCCAAACAAACGCCCAACCCAACCAAGCCAACCAACCCAAGCAACCTGAACAACTCGACCAACCGGACCAGCCAAACCAACGAAACCAACGAAACCAAACCAACCCAACCAACCCGACCAATCCGACCAACCCGGCCAAATCGACCAAACCAACCAACCCAACCAAGCCAACCAACACAATCAACCCGACCAACTCGACCAACCCCACAAACCAAACAAACCAACCAAACCAAAGCAACCACCAACCAACCCAACCAACCCAACCAACCCAACCAACCCAACCAATGCAGCCGTCGGCGCTGACAGTGTCCGTGACGGCAGCAGGCGCATCAGCAGCAGCGACAGCAAATGGCCAGAGCAATAGCAACATGCCAGCAGCAACAAGCCAACAGACACGAAGAAGCTGACCGCTTCAACTGCAGCGCAACACGTGCGAGCATTGGCACTCACTCAAGAGCTTTCAGCAGTGTGCCACTGACAAACCTACTGACAACTGCGTGTTGAGTCCGCCAAAATTGAGAAATTGCATCTTTTTGTGCCCTTCTCAAGGTATTGCTGCAGCTCAAAGAGGAGCAGACGCGGCGCGAGGAAGCCTTGGAACGAGAGGCACTGGGACACCAACTTTGCACTTCGCCGACTTTTCAGAGTAGTAGAAAGGGCAATACTTTTCAAACACTTGTAGTACTTTCTTAAACGCATAGATCACGGTTTCCTCTCAATGCCATTTCTTTCGATGCCTGTCACTTGCCCGTAGCAGGCTGGAGCAGCTGAGCTTTCAGTGCTGTCAGGATCCTTCTCGGCAATGTCTCTCTAAGCTTTGTTCACTTCTATTGAGTGCATTGTGGTTTGGTCATACGCCGTGGATATTCTGCAAATGATGGCTCAAGATGCATCAGCTAGCTGCTCACCTGATTCATCGGAGAGGCTGATTCTCCACTTTTGCGGTTGGCATTTTTTTGGCAAAAGACATCTAACCTGGCAATCAGCAAGCGTCAAGATAGGCTGAGCTGTCTTCCCAGCCGAATGTCCCCGCCGGGCTTTCATGTGGTTGCCCGGACCAGTTCCTTGGCTGCCTCTTTATGTATATCACTCTTGTCCATTCTGAATGAACTGCAAGTTCTGACAGGTTCGTTCAAATTTACCAGTCTACACAGACTTGATGAAGTCACTGCAGCTTCATGCTGGTGTTCCATGGGTGTTTCGCGCATTTGGGGCAATCTGGCGCCAGGTTGGTGGAGCGTTCTTGCATACTGCGTTTCATGGGGTTTGCTTCCTTGCCAAGGCTGAACAACTCTGTGTTGTTCCCTGGCAGTAACTTGTGTTCCAGGGTTATTTTGCAGTTTGACCGCTTGGTTTGCATGCAGTTTCACTAACACGATGATGCGTTCCATGTGGCCAAGACTTGGCGGTGACCTTTTGACTTCATAGATGGGCTGCGTTCCATGCAGGGTAACCTCGCCAACTGGCGGTGACTTCGATTGCTGTGTGTGTGGTCCATTTGGGAGGGACGCGGGTCACTAAGTCCCCTCCCCCCAAGAAAACAGGGCAAAGTGTTGGACTTTGTAACTTTCAACTCTGCCCAAATCTGACATTTTAACCCCCTGCAAAGAGTCAACACGAGTCAACACAGAAAACAGCAGGCTTCAGCGGCACCTTTGAGCATTGTCTCAGCTTCGAATCGGACGAGGAGTTCCAGGTGCTTCGCTGGAGCAAGGCTGGCTGGTGGTGGGCTCAGCGCCCGAATGGTGAGCAAGGCTGGATTTATTCGGCGCAGATGCGCCCAAAGATGTGCAGCGCTTGCCATGACAAGGCTGGGTGAAAACAACGGCTCTTTGAGTTGTTGGTATTTTCCTGGTTGGGCCGCTTTTTCGGTATGCTGACTGTTGCAGGACAACCCCATTATGCTGCAAACAAGCACCTCTTGAACGGACACGTGGATCCGGTAATAGGAAATTTGGCATTTTGCAAAACTGCGCCATGCTTTATGGCGACTTGCTTTTTGGTTCAGCGATCTCAGGCGCAGAACCTCCCCCCTCAGCCAGAGAAATCAGAACCTGAGGACGCCGATGCGCAAGGCAAGTCTAAAGAGCGCCCTGCAATGGCGTTGTGACGTAGTCCTTTGAGCAATCTCGCACTGTCCGAACGTTTTCCTTTGCGCAGGCACAGAAGCGGAGCCTTGGCCTCCGCTGCCTCCAACGCAGGAGGAGGTTTGGCCTCCTTTGCCATCAGGGGCGCCACCCCCGCGGAAGCGCGAAGATGAGCCTTCTGCTTTCGACGGGGACTACACACAGACCATGACCTTCCGGCTGGACGGGAAGGTCTGTGACTTAAAAAAGCTATTTGTTCGGAAGACTCGTGCTGTGTGAGGCAGTCGTTGACCCCCGAGGTGGTGACGGAGCCGACAAATCACGACCGGGTTATGCGCCAGTGTGACTACTATTTCAATTATCAGAACTGGATCGACGGACAGAACACTGCCGTGGCAAGCAAGAAGCGGCCCGGGAAGACCACTGGGGATGGCGGCTTCAAGCGCCGCCGCTGATGTTGCTTTCCTGAAAGATCAGACAGCCGGATGTGACTCAAAGCTTGAAAAAGCAGCAGCTGCATTTGTGACACTGCAGTAGCTGAATGCATAATCTTTGTATCCAGCCAATGTCCGTGCAGCCATTTCCTACTGAACGCTGATAGTCTTGCAGGAACAGTTGCGACTGAAGCAGCGGCTTGTTGATCTCCAGGCCAGCCTGGGACTGCTTAGCTTTGTTCAGAGCGCAAGAGAAGAAAAACAGTAAGGGGTTGGCTGGTTTTGGCTGGTGATTCTGACATGCATTGGTCGATTCCTATTGAGGCACGGGTTTCCTCCTCAGAAGCTCGGCAGAAAAGCGCGGAGGAGCACACAGCCACTTGGCCGCAGCCAGGAACGAGTTAGGGAGCGGCGATTGCCGCAATACCCGCATATCAAGTAATGGGCGAGTGGGTGAGTGGGTGAGTGGGTGAGTGAGTGCGTGCGTGTGGCGCCTTCATTTCGCAGGATGGCCCCGAACTTCAGCCAGCGGAGCCAGCGGGAGGAAGTTCCAAAATGTAAGAGCTGTAGGTTTAAGCGCTGCTTTTGTTTTTTTGTTGTATCTCTCTCTCTCTCTCTCTCTCTCTTTCTCTTTGCCTTTCGCGCCTTCTCTCTTTTTCTTTCCTTCTTTGTCGGGTTTCTTTCTCTTTCCATTCCTCTCATTCTGTTTGTCTGGCAGTCTTTCTCTTTCGTTCTTTTCTTTTCCATCTTGTGTTTTTTCTTGTTTCTTTTGTTTTTTTCTCTTTTTTTGTATTGTTTTGTATATATGTTTGTTTTTTCTCCTTTTCTCCTTCTCTCTTTCTCTCCTTCTCTCTTTCTCTCTTTCTCTCTTTCTCTCTCTCTTCTTTCTTTCTCTTTTCTTTTTTTTTCTTTCTTTCTTTCTTTCTTTCTTTCTTTCTTCTTTCTTCTTTCTTCTTTCTCTTTTCTCTCTTTCTCTCTTTCTCTCTTTCGCTCTTTCTTCTTTCTCTCTTTCTCTCTTTCTCTCTTTCTCTCTTTCTCTCTTTCTCTTTCTTTTTCTCTCTTTCTCTCTTTCTCTCTTTCTCTCTTTCTCTCTTTCTCTCTTTCTCTCTTTCTCTCTTTCTCTCTTTCTCTCTTTCTCTCTTTCTCTTTTTCTCTCTTTCTCTCTTTCTCTCTTTCTCTCATTCTCTCTTTCTCTCATTCTCTCTTTCTCTCTTTCTCTCTTTCCTGTTTCTCTCTTTCTCTCTTTCCTATTTCTCTCTTTTCTGTCTTTCTTTTTTCTCTCGCTCTCTCTGTCTTTCTGTCTCTTGTCCATTTCTCTTTCTCTTTCTGTTTTCTCTTTTCTCTTTCTCTTTTTATTTTTCTTTCTTTTTCTCCTTTCTCTTTTTCCATTCTTCCTTCTCCTTTCTCCTTTCTCCTTTTCCACTCTTTGTTCCTTGCTCTTTTACTTTCTCTTTTCCATTCTTCCTTCTCCTTTCTCCTTTCCCCTTTCTCCTTCCTCCGTTCTCCTTTCTTCTTTCTCCTTTCTTCTTTCTCCTTTCTCCTTTCTCCTTTCTCCTTTGTTTTTTCTCCTTTCTCCTTTCTCTTTCTCATTTTTACTTTCTCCTTCCCTTTTTTTTATCCTTTCTTCTTTCTCCCTTTTCCTTTCTCCGTTCTTGTGTTCTCCATTCGCTGTTCTCCGTTCTCCTTTCTCCGTTCTCCGTTCTCCTTTCTTCTTTCTCCGTTCTCCGTTCTCCTTTCTTTTTTCTCCTTTCTTCTTTCTCCTTTGTTTTTTCTCCTTTCCCCTTTCTCCTTTCTCCTTTCTCCTTTCTCCTTTATCCTTTCTCCTTTCTCCGTTCTTCTTTCTCCTTTCTCCTTGCTCTTCCTCTTTCTCTTTCACTTTCTCTCATTCTCTGTCCGTCTTCTCTTTCGCTCCTTCCTTTTCTATATTTTTCTTCGTTGCTCTTTCATCTTTTTCTGTTTTGTCTTTTTATCTTTTTCTTTTTCCTGGTTTTATTTTGTATCGTTTTGTATTTTTCGCTTCTGCTCTTTTTCCTTGTCTCTTTCTCCCTTCCTCTTTCTCCATTCTCGCGTTGTCCGTTCGCCGTTCTCCGTGCTCCTTTCTCCTTGCGTCTTTCTCCTTTCTCCTCTCCGCTTGCTCCTTTCTGCTTTTTCCTTTCTCTTTCTTTCTTCGTTCTCGGTTCTTCTTTCTCCTTTCCCCTTTCTGCTCGGTCTTTCTCTTTCTCTTGTCTTTTGCCTTTTTCTTTCCTTTCCCTTTCCCTGTCCCTGTTTCTCTGTCTTTCCCTTTCCCTGTCCCTGTTTCTCTGTGTTTCCCTTTCCCTGTCCCTGTTTCTCTGTCTTTCCCTTTCCCTTTCCCTTTCCCTTTCCTTCTCCCTTTCCTTTCGCGTTCTCTTTCTTTTTGTCTTTCTCATTCTCCCTCTCTTTCCATTTCCCTTTCCTTTTCTCTTTCTCTTTCCTTTTTTTCTCTTTCTCTTTCCCTTTGTTTTTCTCTTTGTCTTCCTCTCGCACTTTCACTTTCTTTTGTTCTTTTTCCTTCTTATCCCAGCTGAAAGCTAAAGGGGGCTGAGCCCAGACAAGGTTTGGGGGGCTCGGAAAACCAAGGTTCAGGAGGTTCCGGGTGGTCTGGTTCAGGGTGTAAGGTTCCTGGAAGGTTCCTGGAAGGTTCCGGAGGTTCTGGGGTGGGTTTGCGAAGGTGCTCGGGCGGGCGTAAGGTCAAGGAAGGTTCCGCAGGTTCCGTGGACTGGCGCAGGCCAGGTGTATCGCCGTATGCTGTAGGGGCATCGGTTGGGATTATTTGTTATTTTCCTTTTACTCCAACAGCTCAAAGCCAAGGGCTTTCAGCCCAGATAAGGTTTGGGGGGTGGCTTGGCAGAGCTGTTAAGTTATGCTGCATCGACAATGTGTTTGGACAAGCCGCATGAATGAGAGCATGTGCACCGCCCCACCGCCCCCCCTGCGGCTGCCAGGTGGCTTGGCTCATCTTCAAGGCCAACTGCCAGGCTACTTCTTTCTGAGGGGCGACGAGAGCCTTCTTTGAGGGGGGAAGGCTTCCTTGACGACGCAGTCGATGCCGCCCTGAATTGTAGTTGGGTTTGAAAGAGGCCCTGACACACTCAGAGATCGCGAGACACACCGCAGCGAACCAATGTTTTTGACTTGGATTGATTGGTTGTTCTTGGTCTTTGCGTGACACGGATCGACGTGACCGGGCCCGCCTGTTTGTGGTGCAGGCTGCGAAGACCCATCTTGGCGGCCGGCAGAAGACCCGTCACAAGAATAAAAAGACGGAAACACCAAGATTCGGTGCGTCTCGTCGTAACACGGTGCTCAGTTGCATCAGCTTCGTCCTGTAAGGCGTACAGTCTCAAGCCTTTGCGCGCCAGTCTGCGGGCAAGACGCACGGCCACGCAGTCCCTACTTAGCCGGACATTTGGTGTCGCCGCCTGAAGCTGATGCATCCCAATTCTGTGCGAGTGAAGCGCAGGACTGTGTCGGCGCTCTTTGTCACAAATACGACAACTTCCTGCGTTGAAGCATGACCTTGTAGCGAGCCTTGGATCAGTGCGACATTGGGAAGCTATGAGTCCGGATGACTGCTAATCATGGATCGATGCGCTGCTGAAAACAACCCCGGACACAGTTGCCCGAAGACAGGACTGAAGGAAAGCAGAGGCAGCCACCTAAAGAGTGCTGCGCGCATGACTTCGCATCAATGCGGCGGCGGCGCGAACGCAGAGACTTTTTGGAGGTTTGGTGAAGGACACGTGTCTCACCCAACTTGATTTCATGGAAAACATGACTTGGCCCTGTGAGTGACTTGTTCTGCACGACTAGCCGGGGCTCCTTCTAAAAGAATTACCACACATCTCTCGCAAGTGTTGGGTCATGACAGCGCATTTGCCTGCCAACGCTTGCAGCTTGCCGGAGTTAGATTATGAGGAAGACATTGCCCAGTTTAGCAAAGTTTTGCAGCTCGATGCAGGGGTGTGCGTGCAGGGGTATCGGCTTGGCATTGCCAAGGAGCAGAGTCTGCAGCGCTATTGCGCGAACCTGGAAGCCCTGGCGATGCGCAGTGCAGGTTGCAACTCGCCCTCGTACCAGGTACACATTGCATGCCTTGGAATAATGCTGCAGGCTTACGGGGCACGGGCGATTTCACCCTCAGACGTCGGCCAGCGGTGCCCTGTTGGCAATCAGCGCAAGTTGGATTTGCTGCAGATTGTCGCTGCGTCGGTCAACGATGAGACCAAGCTGTTTGGCAGCAGCCAGCGGTAAGCCTCAACAAGCCGGGAGAAAAAGGGAAATTGCCAGCTCATGAGCTGATGTTGGGCTGAGCTACAGCCAAGACGCAAGAGCATGCGGAGGCAGCTCATCGGGGCATTGGCTTGAGCATGAGCTGCAGAGGGCGCGGAAAGCAGGAGGCACGCTGCAGGGGAGCGCCTGGAACATTGCGGGGAATGGAGCTGAAGCAGCGAGAGAGGCAGAAGCTGGAGAGAAGCTGCCGCTGCCGAAAGAAGAAGAAGCTGGAAAGAGGCAGAAGAGGCATAAGCTGCCAACAGGCAGAAGCTGACGAGAGAGGCAGAAGCTGTCGAGAGAGGCAGAAGCTGCCAGAAGAGGCAGAAGGTGTTGAGGGCAGTTGCAAGTTGCCATTGCTTGCTTGGCTTCGGCCTCGGCTATGCCCACACACAGGTCTCTAGTTCTTTAGCGGTTTGGAGTTGGAAACAAAGCTCCATTCCTTCTAGGCCCCTTCAAGCCCAGACACTGTCCAGCGACGACAACGCAGGAGTTTTGGATTGGTTGAAGCTTTACGGTTCAAGAACCGACTGTAGCAAGTTCGTTGGTGCAATGAACGAACTGTTGGTTTTGACCAGATTTGATTACGTTAGGTTTTGCTTGCAGGGCAGTGCGACAAAGATATTGCTGCTGTTGAGCCTTGAATTCTGAGTTCTGAGGATAAAGCAACTTGAGTTTTGCAAGTGAAAGGTCAAACACACAAAATGCTACGTCAGTGAAAACCTGCCGCAAGCAAAGCCCAAACCACTCAGGTTCCAATTTCTAGTTTGTCACCCCTGCTGCAGGAGAACAAACTGCAGTGGGAAAACCGCCCAAAAGGAGGCCAAAACGGGAAAATTACGGACAAGGTCCTTTTTGAACTTGCAAAGCACCTTCAACAGATGAAAGGGCGGATCTGTTCAGCACCAAAGATGAAGCCGGCGCACCTGCCGCGTATCAAGAACTCGGAGCGGGTTTATATTCTTCAGGCGGGCGGGCGAACAAGACTTTCTTTCAGGGGCCCAGGGAATAGCTTTGGGCTGAAGTCCTACCCATTGGATGGTTTTTTGTAACTAAAAATTTGAATGAAAAGACATGTAAGAAAGCGTGAGTCTGGGAAAACGAACAACAACCCTTCAACGGTCAGGTGATGCTGGCGAAGCTTCAAGCTTTGTGTCTTTGGGCCTGCTCACCAAAACCAATCATCTAAAGCTTTCCCACGCTCATGCTCTCTCACACGTTTCTTAATCGAGAAAAGAGTGCTTCAGACGCCCAAATTTGAGAACAAGACTGTGAATAAAGTCTTGTGAGCTGCCCCGCTGGAAAAACGAGCGCGTAGTATAAACCCAGATGGAACTTCAATCCCGGTTCTGAGCCCCATGCCTTGCGAGGGCGTCAAAAGAACAAGTACTCGCACGCGCCTACCCCAGTAGCCTGCAAAAGCTGATGGCTACGCTGCCGACGTCTTTTGCAAGCTGAACAGTGCTTGCGGCGCGAGCGGCTTGGAAGTGGTGCTCCGATGTAGTGCGACGAATCTCCCGTGGCTCACTGGTTGAAGAAGCCAGTTTGCCACTTCCTTGTGTGTGACCTGAGCTAGACGAACATCCTCAACGAGCAGGTCTGCCACTCTGGCGCGTGGAGTAGATGCGACGCACCAGTTGGCAACTTAACTTGGGTAAGCTTAGCGAAGCTAGGGTGAAAGATAAAGGTAACTTACAAGTTTATCGTAAGTTGTGTTTGCAATAAAAAAAAACTTGCGTTCCCACCTCGGTGCCAATAACCTGTTGTTTTACGGTTTGCGAAGACAGCAGCAAAGGCTGTTTTGTGCGCAAGCGCGCAATGGTTTTGTCAAATTCCGCCCGCCATGCCTAGACTTGACGCGGAACTTGCCTGCGGCCGTTCTGAGCGCGGCCTTTTGCTTCCAGGAGGCTCCGAGTCGAACATAAGCTGCCGAGAGAAAGAAGCTGGAAAGAGCGCTGAGAGGCAGAAGCTGACGAGAGAGGCAGGAGCTGTTGCAAGAGGCAGAAGCGCAGAAGAAGGGGCATAAGCTGCCAAGAGAGGCAGAAGCTGTTGGGGGAAGCAGAAGCTGACGAAAGAAGCAGAAGCTGTGGAAAGGGGCAGAAGAGGCAGGCATAAGCTGCGAGAGAGGCAGATCTGCCGAGACAGGCAGAAGCTGTTGCAAGAAGAAGCAGGCAGAAGCTGCGGACGGAAGCTATCGAAAACGGTAGAGGCTGACAAAAGAAGCAGAAGCTGCCGAAAGCTGCCAAGAAGGCAGAAGCTGAAGAGAGAGGCAGAAGCAGGCAGAAGCTGCCGAAAGAGGCATGAGCCAGACAGAGGCAGAAGAGGCGCAAGCTGTCGAGCGAGGCAGAAGCTGCGCAGAGAGTCAGAGGCTGCCAAGAGAGGCAGAGGCTGTTGAAAGCGAGCTGCCAAAAGATGCAGAGGCCGGGGCTTTGCAACTCCTTGGAGCTGCTTAAAAAAGTCAGGATTGTCGCAGGGGCTTCTCAGTCTTTCTTCTGCAATCTAGGAGGCGGCGTGTTAAGCAAATCCACCAAAACATTAGCTCGGAAAGGTGATGCGTTAAGCAGCAACATTCTCGGCGCAGATTGCGGGAGCGCCCTGTTGTCAGAAGTATTTTTGGGCCGCTCGGCATGGCGCGTGTGTTCCTGTATTGGAAGGGGCGTCTTTAATTCGTCAGCTGACAACGCATTTTTGCTCTCCAGGGTAGTATGAACAGGTTTCTCTTCCCTTTGTCTCTTTTCTCTGCTTTTCTTCTCCCGCGCCTCTTGAGACTGACTAACACTCCGTAGAACAATCAGAGCCTCTCGAAACTGATGCCTTCAGAGGCGCGGCTGCTACGGAACTTCTTGTCAAACTTGCTTTGCAGAGTTTGACCTTTGTCTTGGGCGCGCCGCGGCGAACTCAGCTGCCCATTTGTAGAGTCTCTTCTCGGACAAGGTCAGCGCGTTGGACGCCATCATGAACGGGCTCGGCTGCGAGGCCAGAGTGACTCTTCTTCACAGGCTGCAAACCTATAAAGTCAAAGGAAGCGGCGGGCTGGCTGACGCAAAGAAGTTTGTGTCCGGGAATAGTCGCGACCCCTCTCTCCGTGCCCGCAAGGGGAGAAAACGCAAAGGTTGAAAACTTAGCTGGGCCCGGGCACTTCACACGCGAACACATGAGGCGGTTCGCTTCTTCAATTGCTACGCGTGCTGCCCGTATCAGGATCGCTTTTTTGGTGTGGGATTGCGGGCCGAAAAGCATCAAGGGCTGCCAACACAATCGCCACGCTGCCGAAGACGATGCAGGTTTGATGAACGCAAAATCAGACGACCTTCTGAGAGCTTCAGTGTCCATCATCTATCATTTCAAACGGAAATTTCGTCTTTGAAAGGAGCGCGAGACTTACACGGTGCTCACAAAGACATCCCGCCTGCAGTCCTGCAGCGCCTTCTTCACGGCCACGCTGCCGCTGATGGCCAAGTTTGGCGTCGAGGAGCTGAGCTTCAAGGCCCGAGTGAGATAAGGGCCGCCGGGGAGAGATGGTTTTTCCAGGTTCCTGTTTAACTCAGCTGAAAGGGTAGCCTCAAGAAGCACACGCGCGCTCGATCAGACGTGGTAAGACCCAGGAACATGTTTTGCGAATCTCAACTCTGTCCAGCGAGACTGCCGCGCTGTGTCATTCGATGTGTTTAAGATCAAATAGTTCCAACGCAGAATATGTTTAGAAAAATGCTTAAGTGTTGGCGCAACTCACGCAACAACCGACCAACAGAAAAACGAGGGACACAAACTCCCAAGAGAGGGTGCCAGCTCGTGCCACAATGCTTGACAACAGCAAGCCACCAGAACCACTAGATACCAGCTCCGTCACCGCCACCGCCACCACCGCCACCGCCGCCAAAACCGCCCGCTTGCAAGGGCAGTAGCGATGAAGACGAGAAACATCTCAAGGCGGGAAAACATGGAATAAAAGTAGCAGATGCAACACTAAGCGTAAACTTTTAACAACATAAGTTGCAGATCTAGTGAGATGATGACAGGCGATGAAAAAGGAACAGTCGCGCTACCAGAGGAAGTAGCAGTAGTAGCAGTAGTAGCAGTAGTCGTTGTAGCAGTAGTAGCAGCTGCAGTAGCGGCAGCAGTAGTAACCCAAGTAGTTCCAACAAAGTCACAAGCGTTCATCCTTCACCAGCGTTTACATAGTGTGAACAGTTGTTGCGGCAACTAGCCCAGCAGAAGCACCAGCGCTGGCAGATGAAGAAGAAACAGAAGAAGTACAAACCGAAACCAATCTCGATCAAGTAAAATGCGCCTGATGATTTGCAACTGGGACAAGTAACTCGGGCAAACAGTTGACACGAATTGTGTAGAACAAAGTGAAGAACATGGTAGACCAGATTTGTCATTGGTGAAAGCTGCAAAACGACTAACGAACAGACTTGAACACTTAGAAGCAGAGAAGAAAGACAGTGGGCGTATCCTAAAAACCATTCCATGGATGAATGTGCGCATTTTTCCGTTTAGACATAACATAGAGCCAACGAAGTCTGTGGTTTTTTGAACGTCAACACTCTAGCTGTTCGTTTTTCTTTTTTCCTTTGTTTTCTCTTCTTCCTTCGTTCTTTTTGATTCTTGGCTTTGCTTCTTTTCTGTCCGTCTGTCTGTTTTTGTGTTTCTTCTTTGTTGCCTTTAGACCTTTGCTTTCTTTTTGTTCTTTCTTTCTTTCTTTCTTTCTTTCTTTCTTTCTTTCTTTCTTTTATTCTTTCTTTCTTTCTTTCTTTCTTTCTTTCTTTCTTTCTTTCTTTCTTTCTTTCTTTCTTCTTTATTCCTTTTTTGTTTCTTTCTTTCTTTCTTTCTTGCCTCTTTCTTTGTATTGCCAACGGCTGATAGCTTTGGGGTCTCAGCGCAGATAGGCTTCGGAGTGGTTCTTTTTTTTGGTTAGTGGCCCCCTGAGCGGGACTCACCTATGGAAGCGGAGCGGGTTTCCCGACAAGAACTATCAGGATGTCATCGAGCGGAGAAGGCTTCACGGCGGCCACCACCAGCGCAGGCCGACCTGAAGAGAGGGCAACGCGCTCACGTGTCGAGAGTCGCTTGACAACACTTTGCTGAAGGGTGCAACCGCCGTGTATTTTTATCGACTCCTCAGTTTCGTCACACACAGGAGACACAACGCGGAGTCAGCGTTTCAAGCTCCAGAGCTTGCTACGTGTATATAACCAGGGTGGAATGACCTGATGCCCGTCATCACGCAACTGCCAGATTATCTCCAACCAGTGCAAGATGCTAATAGCAGAAAACCTGCGCAGCCCCAGCAACCGACCCGGGCTGGAGTGCTGCGTGTGCAACTCCTGAACCTGGTAGCTCTTCATCATTCAGGGTGAACTATCAGACCAAGGCTGATCAGCGCAAGGTCTTTGAGGAACAATCGGCTAGAGCGTTACTCATACGAGATGCTGAAGACGCAGCGTCAATCTCTTCATCGCAGCCAGAAGATCCAACACTCCGACCGCCAGGAGGTTCATGCCAGAACATCTTTTACATTCTCGAGCAAGGGGAACACGAAGGAGAAGAAGGTTAAGTCAAAAGGAGCAGCGACCTGGCCCACAAACATCAGGATCCTTACGGACAGGCGTAAGGGAGGCGCAAGTGTCAGAATCCTTTCGGTGGAAACAAAGGCTTTCCAACAGGAACGCGGAAAAGACAGAGGAACGCCCAAAACATTCGCCGCCGTCACGATGCTTTCCAAAACCAGTGACGCCTCCACGAAGGTACAGTTCTGCTCGCAACCTCGCAGTCACGACCAGTCATGGCGCCGGTCATGAGCCCGCGAGACCATCCCACCATTGCAATCCATGACAACCGACGCCAGGTCAACAGCGACCCACACCGGCCATCGAGCCGACGAAGAACCTCATCTTTTTACGCGTGTGCTCTGGTAGACACTCATAGTTCGTTTTTGCCAGTGGAGAACCAGATGAAATCGCACGACGCTTCCAGCTAGCACCAACATCAGCATTCTGGAGCAAGGCGCCGCACCAACGCTCCTCAGCGTTGGGCAAACGAAGAACTTGCGCATGAGCGTTGAGCGCGCTCCTCAGTGTGGCAAAATGACACGCGAAGACTTTGGCGTGTGTCGACAGCCAGACCCAGTATCAGGCGCGGGACATGCTCTTGTCGATCTTGCAGGCGTGGCAAAGTGGAAGAATCGTGGAGATCGCTGCGAAAGGCGTCGGCCATTCTTTTCATTGTTTCGACGAAGCATCAAGTTTCCTCGCGCGCGACACCAGAAGTTGCATGTGCTTCCGAGCCATCATCATCGAAAGAGAACTCCAAGGATCATCGGATCAGTGCAGCAGGACCGTCGGATATAATATTTGATAAGAAGAACACAACTCAGTCGCATTCGCGCCACGCCTCGAAAGGCATTGTTCGCACCGACAGATCTGAAGGAATGGCGAACTGATCCAGATAAGCCCAGCCGTGAATGCGCCACACTTTTAATTGACGCAGGCAAAGGTGGAGACGCAGACAAACCGAGAAGCGGTGAACCTGTGGACGGGTGAGGCCGTCTTCACATGTGCGGACAACAGGATACCAACAAGAAGGGCCGGTCGACCACTGAGCCAGATCCTCCTATGGCAACAGCTGACAAGCCAACGACACTTCCACTTGCCTCAGGCAGAGCCCACCAGCGATTGTCACGCAAATGAGTCGAAGAAGCTTCGCCTCACAGCGTCATCGCATGTCGAACCCGAGCACATCACTTACCAAAGCCAATCTACGACCTCTGCGAGAAGGTTCGCAAGTGTGAAATTTGCCTAGCAGCAAAACAAGCAAGACAAGTGGACTTCGACCAGACATTTGGCGACATGACTCACTGTCAAGCTCCCCTCGGAACTGGAGAACACACATCCATCTTGGGTGGAGCAACAACATTGCTCACTGCAGAGAACATTGCGAAGTTCAGATCAAGCAGCTGTCAAAACAATCAGTCGGAAGACATCAAAACCGATCTTGCGCAGAATCTCAGAAAGAGCCCCAAGCCTCCTGACGCAGGAGACAAGGTGTTTATTTTCCATGTCATGTCATGTTTTTTGTATGAGAAACGTATCCCGTGCTATGATCTGGCTGGTTAGGTTATGCGTGTTGCCCGCCCCAAACCCAGATGATGCCGGGGATGCCAGCTTTCTGAGCCCCAGCCAGGCCCCAACCCAGAAGGCTGACATGGGGTTGCGCGCGCGCGCCAGAGGCCAGAAAGAGCAGCTCAAAAAGAGCAGCGCGCAAGCCAGCCTGGAAACGCACATGCAGTGTTTTGTGGCTGGGGTCGCGCGCGCACGCCAGAAGGCCCGAAAACCAGCGGGAAAAAGCAAGAACCGCACAGCGCGCGAGCCAGCCACAGCAAAAGCAAAACGGACAGAACAACAGCCCGCCGCTCAGCGCAGCAGTTTTTGACGGTATTTACAGCGTTTTGTAGAGCGAGGACCCAGCTTCGCCGGCATGCCCGCCAGTGCTTGGCGCAAAAATGCGCGAAAATGAGCCTTGCTTAAATCCCTCCGATACCTTCTAAAAAACAGTCCTTCATGGGCTGAGAGGCTTTTTGGAAGGAAGTGTTGATGATGCAGACCAAGCCCCGCTGAAGCATCACCCAGGCCCACCCCAGACCCTGATGATGTCAGCCACATGGCCCAAACCCTGCACACACGCGATGTTTTGCAAGGGTTTCCCAAAAAGGCGCAGCAGGATTTACACGCGACGCGATACAGCCGCCCACCGCGATGATGATTGACTACGCATCGCTTGCATGCCAAGCCGGGTCTAACGGGACACTTGAAATGTGTACAGAAAAGACTTGACAGGACGAAGCAGCCGAATCATCACGAGGATCATGAGGATGCGTCATAAGCACCGCCCTGTGGCTGCCTTCGCGCTGTGGCTTTGGTCACAGCTTCGGGCTGTGGCTTTGGTCGCGCTGTGCCTGCCACATGGCTGCCGCAGCCTTCGTGCTGTGGCTTTGGTACAGTCTTCGGGCTGTACCTGCCACAGCCTTCGGGCTGTGGCTGCCACAGCCTTTGGGCTGTGGCTTTGGTACAATCATCGGGCTACAGCCTTTGTGGCTGCCACAGCCTTCGGGCTGTGGGTTTGGTGCAGTCTTCGGGCTGTAAAGCCACAGCCTTCGCGCTGTGGCTTTGCCACAGCCTTCGCGCTGTGCCTTTGGTACAGTCTTTGGGCTGCACCTGCCACAGCCTTTAGGGGTGGGGGGGGGCTGTGACTTTGCCACAGCCTTCGGCCTTCAACCTGTGGCTGGCAGCCTTCGGGCTGTGGCTTTGGTGCAGTCTTCGGGCTCTACCTGCCACAGCCTTTGGGCTGTGGCTTTGCCACAGCCTTCGCGCTGTGGCTGCCACAGCCTTCGGGCTGTGGCTTTGGTACAGTCTTCGGGCTGTACTGCCACAGCCTTTGGGCTGTGGCTGCCAGCCTTCGGGCTCTTTGGTACAGTCTTCGGTCTCT